ATTCTCTTTCCATCCTAGTTCTTTTGTCTTCATGTACATCAAATCATAACGTCCTGTTCTTTGAAATTCTATAATCTCATTACATATCTTCTCAAGATATTCATTTTTGGCCCTGTCCGTGGCTCTTATAAAAATAATATAAATTTTTAATTATAAAATACACTCAGATGATGAATTAAAATGTTGCTCGTTATGTTGTATTTAAATATCTCATAAATAATTACCTCATATATAAATATTATTCATATTGGTGTCCATCATTCCAACTATGACACTACAATATGTAGTTATCAATGAGTGCTGTTTTGATTGTGGTTTAGTTTGATATTTAAACACAACATAACGAGCAACAATTTAATTCGTCTGAGTGTATTTTATAACTTAAAAACTTATATTATTTTTATATTATTTTATTTTATTATAGATGTCTTTATGTATATCTCTAGGCACCCATCTAATATACAACTTTTATTCTAGTTTTAATATATATACAAGAATGGTATTAATTCTAACAAAATATTGAATATATTAACTATGTGTAATGGCAGTTATATTAGTAATAGTTGTTATATTGTAATATATGAATTCATATAAAACGCAATTCAATAGTTGGAGAACAGTTGTTGGTGTATACTGCCTGATGATGGCTTTATACGCACAATGCCCTGCCATTAAGATCAATAGACTGATTATATACAGTAAATGTGGATGAGATTTTGATAGTTGTTGTGTTCAGAGAGAAAAAAACAATAAAGAGATATAAATTAAGACAACAGGATGAACTCGTTGAAGGTTATTCATTTCTACTGATGACAGCTACATTTGTAGAACAGTTGCTTACCTCTAATTCAGAATCTCTAAGTGCATCGGCTAGAGTTGATTTTTCTGCCTGCAGGAACTCCTGTAACTCAATAGACTCAGCCTCTATCTCTTGCTGTTGCTGCAGAAGTGTCTTCTGAGCTGCCAAGCTCTTCTCTAGGTCCTGCAATAACAACACATGCTATTATAGCTGAGACAGGGAAGTATACTGTGTGACGATGGGGTTACTGAGAACAATATATAACTCTATGTCAGTCAGTCTCTTTCATTTAATAACACTATCTCAGCATTCATCTGAGAATGATAATTTCATGTGCAGGAACAAATGCAGCAAGGCTGAAAATTTTAATCTCATCATCATAAGGCATTGTATATTTAAAATTTGTAACAAGTATTATTTTAAGACATATTCATTGCATTAAACAATAATATAAGTATATTTGTTGCCATGACCACAGTTGTAGCAGAACCTCTATAGTGAACACTTGTTGGACAGTTTACTTATTTGGAACTATAATTTGCATTAACATATGTTCATAAACTGCATATTATGTTGGTATTTAAAAGTGAAGTAGACCTAAATAAAAGAACAAGAACAAGAAACTAATATTGCACAAATGAGTACAACATAGCCTTTCAGACAGAATTGTATTTAGAGAAAGAAAAATCAACTGATCTGCAAACAAATTTTTAACATAGGAACCTGAAGAAAACTAAACCTCACATATGAAGATATCTGCAGATGAATGGCTTCAGTGAGATATTATCCAGATCCCTGTTCTTCAGTACACCGGCACATTGAAAACATGCTTGCATTCTTCTTGATGAAGTTGAATGGGAACATTCAATTAATATTTTCTTTAGTAATGTCGTGACCAACATTGATTCATGTAGGTACTAACATCTACTGATCTTATGATTGATTGATCCTTAGGGCATAAAAAATTGAGGAATACTATTGCAAATCTAGTTGGGATAGTCAGTAACCTAGCATAGATTTAATCTTGGTACCTCCTGAACACAAATTTAGAGTTTTATTTGCTTCACTAGCCTATTTGGTGACCTCATGATGGAATCATTTTTACCTAATTGATGATTCATTTGCTAATAAATACAGGTCCTATAAATAAGTTACTACATTTCAACTATCCTTCATTACTATAAATAAAGTCATGGATGATATTTTCTGTCTTCTTTATTTCATAGACAATGTGAAGTTTACTCACCTTCTTCAGAGTATGGCAAAGTGTCTGGAGCTCATTAATCTCTTGTTGCTGTTTTACAGCCACATTACTGGATGACTGAAGGTATATCTCCAAAGCTTGCAGATGGTCTACACCATCATGTTCATCTGAAACCACATAAGCAAATGTTATCTTTGCTGCCACTAAAATTTCCATTAATGAAAACACATACCACTGCAATTAGTATTTAAACCTTTAGTTTCAGAATGTAATACAAATTTCTGACTACAAAACAATGTGGCTTTATGGTTCACTTTGCAGGGGCAGTCTTGAAAGTGCAGACCATAAACCCAGTAATTATGTTAGAAATTTCAGTTCAAATTACAAGTCCTTTGACAAGTGTCTTGACAGCATCAGAATTTCAGTACCACATTCTTCTATACCAAGTGCATGGACATTTCGCAGAATATCAGTCTATACGATGGTGTTAAATACTGCTGCTCTGTTTTCTGTTCAGCATTTATGTCCTTCAAATAAACATTCAGCTCTGCCTATTCTAGTTTCAGGACTGGCAAAATATTCTCCTTCAAACAGGCGGTGAGCCTTGTTTCTTTCTCACTTAGTACTTCTTACTTAATACTTAGTACTTTTATTGTGCCCATATTCACATTCACAACTTTAGTACAGCAGAATGTACACTCATGAAATACAGTTCACATACATCAGCCATCACATATTCCTTGGTTCAAGCTTCCCAAAACAAATGTGTAACTAATCACATAATGCATAGCTCAAAATCTCATGTACTATCCTGCTACTGTAGTTTCCTGATCCAAACTGAAGATTTTCTAAGATTCTTTGGTTTCAGATTCTTCACAATCAATGTATTTTTTTCTTTTTTTGCATTTTCTATTTACTTCTAAAGACTGGATTAATGCCATGACCAAAATTATTCTCTTCATCACCACACTCAAAATGTCTCTGGGGTCCAGCAAACTTCATATGCATATGCAGTGGGCACTGGAACCTCTTTACTGAAGTTAAAGTAACCAGAATATTTAGATGACCGCTTACATCCATCATAGCTGAGACTTATCATGTGTGAGGCTTAACCATTATGCTCCAGATACGCTTTTATGGCAGTGAGTAAAGGCACAGGCATGGTTTCATCTTTCCTTCTTCCACATCTCATTTTATATAAAGAAATTCATGCCCCTGCCCCACTGAAACAACAGTTTCCCTTGAATTTACTTTTGTGAGCTATTACTTCATGTCTGATATTTAAAAATAATTTCAATAAGATACCCTTGTTTCAAGGTTATACAACAAATAAACACAGAAATGAACAAAGTTCCAAGAATTCACTATTTCAGTAATTATATGCTCCAAGTACACCTGATTTTTGTGGCTTAAATTTTCATTAAGTTGCTTTTTTAAATTCATGATTTTACCATATTTTAATATTATGTGCAGTATTGCAGCTGCACATGCAGCAATAATTACCATTCGAAGAGAATGCATTATAAATGTTACTGTTGCTTCCCATTTCTCTCTACAATATTCAGTTTCCATTTAAAATGTTTCCAGCATCCACTAAATTAGTAAGTAAAATTAGCTCCTACATACAAAAATATTGATATTAGGCTGTATAATAAGTATGTTTAATTATTTCACAGGTATCCATGTCCAAGGGATTTCACCCTTTTTAAATATATACATCCACTGAACCAGGCATACACAAATGGGCTACACCTTATTTCTTTGCTACTAAATATTTAAAATCAAGTTCAATCACTTAACTTTGCTATATTTGCTAGTTTGTCTTTGGATGACCTGCCGATACATTAATTATAATTATAATTATTTGCAAACTACGTTTACTACTGCCTGAATTTTAGGAATGTCCCAGTTGTAAGTACAGTATATCCTTAAAGTTATGATATAATTTTCAAAAGTCATTTATTATGTAAGAACCAATATTAAAAACATGAATGAAACACAAAACAAAAGATAAACTGTGAAAGTTTACCTGTGCTGTCAGTGAGCCCCATTCATCACTCTATATACAGCTCACTGGATCATGAATTTTTGTCATGCCTGAGTAAGAACAACTAGAGTTACAGTATGTCAATAATTTTCACACTCAACACTACCTGTTCTACATAGGCCCATAGGTATAATACAGCAGCATTAGATCAAGATGGCCAAGGTTTCAAACCTTTTAATCCAAATCATAACCCTGGGAAATATTAATTTCGATCTTCACTGATAGTGCCTGAGTAGTGAAGTGGGCAACATCAAGATGAGAAACTGTGTTATTGCCTTCAATTTGTCATGACATACAGGTTTCACCATTTCAAGAGATTGTCCATGTGGGACTAAATGAACACTTTCTGGGATGGCAGATAGGAAGAGGATAATGGAAGCCTTATTCACCTGAAAATCTGGATCTTTTGGTATTTTTACATGCTGGATTATGTAAAATAAATGCCGTTAAAAATGGAAATCAATAATATTGGCTGTTTAAGGTGAAGAATAAGACACAGCTGAAACTGTAATTGCAGATATTCTCAGCTGAAAGTGGCAGGAATTGACATATGGTATGGGCATGTGCAAAATAATGAACAAAGCTCATACTGAACTGAACTAATAACACAAGTTCACTCATAATTTCTCATTCATTTCACGTTTCATTCATATCTAGAACTGTCAAAAATTGCCAATCTTAAACCTGGCATCATAACTTTATGAATACACTGTATAATTATGGATTTCTGTTTGTAATTATATCTGCAATAGCATTTGAAAACAATGCCACTCCGTGAATTATCAAATATTCCAAAGAATAACGCTATGATATTTCACTAAAAGCATATCTTTAGTATAAAATCTGTAATTTTATGCCAAATAAAGAGCAAAAAAGCAATATTACTCTAGTAATTTCTTTTTATAATATGATTTTACTGCTATAACCAATGAGTGAGCAAACAATGTATATGTATTGGAGTGGAAATGCATAGTATAAATCAGGATAGATTTTATAAAATGTTCTCCAGAAAGGTTAACTTTATTCATTCTGGTCCATCACACTAGTCAGTACTACGAGTATAGAATGATTTGACTACACTGTCCAGTGTGACCCAAAAAATATAAAGGCATCACACACACACACACACACACANATTGAGTTTCTATTTCCAAACAGCGCAGATTATATAAATGGCAAAAAAAGCTATATCTGTAAAGCTGCAGCTACTGGTCTTTTTATTTGGCACGCAACTCAACTACCTTGAAGATGGAGGCGATATGTTCCTCCGAAACGTCGGTTAAAACGAAGAATACACGGCGCCAGATCCCGGAAGACGACTTTCTTCATAGTCATCGACGTGAAAACCTCAAAACTTACAAACTAATATCTTATTCCCTATGTTATGTATGACAGAATATCATTCTTCTAGAAGTTCTTCAGCATATTATTATTGTAATTTTGATTATACATTTCCAGATTGTTACAAAGTAGAACATTACTGGTAAAAGGTCAAACACACAACTACTAAGATTGATACAAACCTAAGTGATCTCCCTTGGCATTTCTCAGCATGGCAAGAACTCGCTGAGAGTACAAATCCAGTTTCTCCCTTAAAGCCAACTTTTCTGCCCTCTCTACCTCTAGCAGCTGATTCTTACTAGTCAATTCTTCTGTCTGTCGTGCTGAGTCAGCTTTTAATTGGGTGTGGCCCTCAGTCAGAAGCTTCAGTTGGAACTCTAAGTACTCCACCTCCTCAATTCTTTGGTTAACCTGCACAGCCATTCACTTATCTTGATTGATACCCAAATATATTCTAACAATAACGGTGAAAAAGGTGGATACTTTCTCACGCAACTTCGCTTATTTGGTTAAGGAAGGTTGAAAATTTAACCAATCATACTCGTAGTACATGAAATACCCAATAAACTTATTAGTTTAATTACAGTGTATATGGGCGAGGTGGCAAGCATTTATGTAATAAAATATGTAATAAAATGACAGTTTACAATGAGCTAAAATGAGATGCTTCAACATTACACCACTTTTTAAATTTGTTGTAGACAAGAAGGTGTAAGAGAATGAGGAAGAGCTGCAATTCAATGGCCTGCATTAGGCAGCTGTTATTTTGAAGCTGTTAATTCATTGTGATAAAATATACAAAAAAAAATCTCCTGAAAGCTAGAAAAGAACTTAGTCCCAAAATAAAAATAGATAAAACCAAGCACAGGGAGTTTTTTTCAACTTTGTTGACCAGTTCACAGCTCTATGCTTCATGGCAACTGGTGTGCTGCTTGCTGCAAGGTGTACACAAATTCCGTTGATAAATCAGCATGCCTGATGTCTGATAACGATTGGAATGAAAGGAAGTAATTAATTTGTGGACTGTTTGATAGAATTAAGTTTCACAGTGAACAGTGCAGTTCATGCGTGAGAGTTTATGATTTTGCAGCAGTGGACAGCAGTTATCAGCCCCATTAGCCATTTGTTCTGAGTTACAGTTACTGAGCAGTGTGGTGCATCATGGTGCGGTATACTTTAGAGCAATGTAATTTTGTATGATACCTATGTGAAATAGGGATCTCCTATAAATTGCAAGAAAAATTTTAACATAAATTTCAAGGTGAAAACGTTCCCAGCAGACAAACAATTCACAGTTTGGTGAATAAACTTAGAAAAATGGGACTCTTAATAGTGAAGAAACAAAAACATAAGCACCTAGTGTTTACTAGTGTTTACTGAGGAGAAGTCGGATGACACAGAAGCCAGGGTTGAATATTTACTTAGAAAATCACTGAAATGTCTAGCTCAAAAGACTGGAGTGTCAAAGTCCTAGTGTAAGAACAGAAACACAACTGCTAAAGCTCAGAACCTATAAGAAAACAGGAATCCACGCAAGTGTTGCAGCGAGGTGATCCAGCTAGCAGGGTTCATTTTTGCAGTTGGTTTCTATAGTCTGTCATCAAAGGTGAGATCAATCTGCAATTGACATTCTTTTCTAATAAAGCATGGTTTCACTTACAGGGATACATAAATGAACAAAATAATTTTTACTGGAGTTCACAGAACACATTGCACCCACGAAGTCCCACTCTATCCAGTGAAAGTTGGTGTCTGGTGTGCTGTAAGTGCAAGCAGGATTGTTGTACCTGTTTTTTAACAAAACAATTAATTGCAAAAGATATATACATGTAGAGGGACATGCATTTTTAACGCCTTATGTGATCTGTGAATTGTAACTACTTCCTTCCGAATATTATTAGCCATCAGGCATGCTCAGTAATCAGCGCCTCGCAGCAAGCAGCGCCCCTGTCATCGTGAAGCATAAAGCTGTGGAACAGGTCCACAAAGTAAAAATACTCCCTGTATACATAAATATGACACAAAGACAAAATCAGCACAGTTGTATTAAAATTACAGGAAATATATCACTTGAAAAAGTTTCACAAATGAAGTGTCTGGGGGAACACTAACAAATTGAAATGAATTTCATGAAGCAATTAGGAGAATAAATTCTGGAAAAGCTTTTTATCATGCCTTCTATTTAAAATCTTCTGAAGCAGGATATACAATATAACAAATTTGTCATTTGTTTTATATGAGTGCAAAACATAAGTCTCACTTTGGAGGAAGGACACAGATTACAAATATCTGAAAACCAAGTATTCATGAAGTCAGTGTAACTTGAGGATGAAATAAGCGAGCAAATCAAAATGTGACATAACAAGGGCCTTTATGATTACCCAGTATTTACGACAGTGAAATCTAGGATACTAAAATGGTCTGGACATGTAGCTATGATAAGAGAGGCAAGGAATGAACACAGAATTCTGGTGGAAAAATATCATAAGACCAGCCACCTCAAAGACTAAGAACAATCTGTAGGCTGTGAGGATGGGAGGCATATAAAGTTGGCTCAAAAGCATAGCCAGTGGTGGGCAGGTTTAGATATTAGTGGGTTTTGCTACCACAGTGTTAGCTATGTACTTTTTGAGCTGTACAATCATTTGAAGATTAAAATATTTACACAATAATACAATAGATCCTATTTACATTATTTTGTATTATATATGTAATTGAGGCTGTTATGTATACCTATTTAGTTATTCTTGCTCCTGTGGAACTTATTTTGCTGTTAATTTATACTCTGATTTACTTTACACAGTCATAGTATCATTATGCTCTCAAGTTAAATGATATTTCAAGCATATTTCAAGAGCTTTAGCAAGGGTTTAAATCAAATAAATACTCAAAACAAGAAAAGTATGATGTGAATATGTAATTAAACTAGAAGTGGATATAGAATTGAATATTATTAAGATACAGAATACTTGCCTGTACTTCCTGATCCTGAGTCTCAATGGCCTCAAGAGGTTTCAGTTCTTTTACAGCAACATCTGCCAGAGCTTTTTCCACATCACTGACTGTGAGTGCTGTCTGACTGCTGGCTTCATGGTAAATGACTGTTCTACCATGATATCTTCTGCGTGGATATGGTGGAAGGCTCTTATTAAGGTTGCTACCTTCTCTCTGGTGATGCTGCTTACGTAAACTTGCTGCTCTGTTCAGACTTGGGTCACGGCTCACAGAGTGGCTTCTTACAGTTGTTTCTAATGTGGTATGAACCTCAGGAGACTTGCACCTTCGTCGACGTGGGAGAGTAGCATATTTTTCCAGTGCAGTGGCTTTACTTTCCATTAATGAACTACTTACCACAGAAGATGAACCTGAAACATTTAACTTTCGTGGCTGTCCATCAACAACACTACCACCACGTGACCTTGGTGCACTTGAATGGGACTTATTGGCTGAAGATGGCCAGCGACCATCATCAGTACCTCCAATAACTTTGCTTCTCATGCTGGAAGAATTTCTAGTTCCTCTTCCCCTTTCAGAAGCAGACACTGAAACAATATTTTTCCTACTTTCTGATCCACTAGATAAGGAACTGTCCTTAGTTTGTCCTTTCATAACAGCTATTACATTGCCACACACAGATTTTGACACAGAAGATGATTTTGAACTGTTTCCAGATGTTGAGGATTTATAAGAACTAGATTTTATTGTACCACATGAAGCAGTTACTGTAGCCGATACTTTCTCCTGTTTATGGGAACTGCTATTGGTGGCAGACGCTTTGACTGCAGTAGTTGTCCCCACATTAGATGAAGGAGTTTTACTTATCACAGGAGTCTGGTGGGGTGATGATGTGGATTTTGGTCGCAAAGAATTCACAGGTGTAGTTGTCAGAGGTGATCTTCTCGTTTTACCAATCAGAGAACTACTAGTACTTTTTGCTGCTTCTGTTGTTGGGGTTCGTTTCTTAACATTGACCCTGCTAGAACCAGGCATTACTCTCTTGCTAGAACCATTCTTGCCACTTCTAATATCTTTGCTTGCTACTGAGGAGCTTTCACTACCACCTTCACTTGTCCCTTCACCATCAGCAGGCACCAATATAGTTGTGCTAGTAACAATATCCTCTGTCTCTTCATATGTTGAATAGCAGCTGATGAGGCTTGAGTCACAGGAAGCAACTGGTGTGGCTGTGCTGGCTGTGAGGGAATCTTCAAGACCTCCACAGCTACTGGTGTATCCACCACTGTTAGTACTGAAAGCCCTCAACAATGCTGGTGAAGTTTCTCTTCCCCCAAGTGAAACACACCCACTTACTTCAACTCCACTGTCACTGCCATCACCAGTCACCTTACCACTTCTCCCAATGACCCTAAAATCCACGTTTTCAATAACTGTCATGTTCAACATATCCATGGCATTTCCTTCAGCTTTATTTCCATCATCATGTGGTGTCTCAGTATCATCAATATTCAAATGATACATATCCATTTCTTTGCAGCTAATAACTACATCTGCTTTGCAGATAACAAGATCTACACTGTTACGTTTATGTGAGGAATCTATGGTGTTAACACTTTCCACCTCAAAAAGTTCACTCTCGTTTGCTTCATCTTTCAAGCTTTGTTTTGTATTGTCCAAATCATTTAACTCATCCTTCAAATCTCCCACAACACAAGACACATTCAAAGGCTTCTCTTTCAATTGATTCATTACATATTGAGAAACATTCTCATCGGTGATAGTCTCATCTAAGTCCTCTGGTTCTTCAGAACACATCCCGTGTCTCCCTAGCAAGTTATCGCCTAGTCCTCCGTTATCTTCACTCTCTCCTCCTCCCTTTCCATCGCTGTGCTTCATTTCTGGGCCGACGTTTCTCAAAACAATCCTGCAACAGCTGATTGTTGTCACGCCTGGTGGTTGGCCTCAGCAGCAATTCTTAATCAGTACGTTCGGCACATTCCATTCATTCCCATGATGCCATGAATTTAATCCATCATCACCTGAAACACATTTTACATTTTTTTGTTGTTGTTGCAGAATTAAAATACATGAGTTGAATAGGGCATAGGGATACATCAGCATATTGTGCAGAACCAACACTATTCCGTAATATAATCAAATAAGTGGCTGCTGACATGCATAATATCTTGTTTAATTCTTTTTCCCCCTTGGTGACTGAATGTCACTGCAGACATCCACCATGCTGCCCCTTGTAGCTTTCACTGCCAACATAGCACATTGAAGCACTTTCTTTGCTTGCTGGTTTGTTTGTATTTATTTACGTACTATATAGTCACCATTCCAGCCAGCCAGAGGGCTTCCATGAGCTGAACAAAATTTAGAAGGAAACTTATGGAATTTACTGTCAAGTGGTTTTGAAATTCGATGGACAAGATGGTTAGAAGATGGAAATACAGATGCTTGTTTAAAAACAACTTAAACTGAAATTGCAATTTAGTACTTTCTTATTCCACGAATACAACAAAAACTGCAGTTCACAAATCTGGGCAGTACACTATATGGCTGTGTATAGTTGGTCTGTGATTCCCATCACTGTCCAACACAACTACAGTGAATGGAAAAGGAGAGCAAGTGGTTAGTTTTGTGACTAGATCATGTGAGAGTGAGTTTAAGATATTTTATGAATAGTGTAGGGGCACGCGGTAGCGTAGTTGGTTGAGGCACTATGCTACAAGCCGGAAGGTCATGGGATCGAATCCCGATGCGGTGGATTTTCTTAATTGACCTAATCCTTCCAGCCACACTATGCCCCTGGGGTCGACTCAGCCTCTAACAGATTTTTTTTTATTGTTACTTAAATAGCAATCAGAATTATCATATTCTATAAGATATTGTGGTGACATTGGGCTACTGAGCCCACCTATGGCAGGATGAGGGTCCTACTACCGAAGGAGCCTCCGTTATTCACTTGAGGTCAATTGGAAGACGTCTCTAACAGAAATGAGTGCCAGGAATATTCTTTGGGGTAAAGGGCGGCCGGTTCGTAAGGCTGACAACCTTACCGCCATCTATGAGCCGCTTGTCTAGAAAATATGGGAACCTCAACATCTCACAACCCTATAGGCCTCCACGGCCTGTTACAGGAATACCTTTACTTACTTACTTACATGACTAGTGTTACTCTCCATTTCAAAGTACTGAGGATGAATGTGTTATTAATATGGAATTTCACTCGTTGTCTACATAGATACAAAGTGTAGGTAAATGTCAACTGTTTAACTGCATTGTTGCAGTCATGGGTTCTGATTCGGAAAAACACAGGGAATGGAAAAGGAAGAATGCTACATGACTAGTTTACCATTTCCCTTGCAATAAGATTTGGGACCTCAATTATACGATACTACTTTAGAGTTTACTAGTACATTTCTTCAGAGCACAACGCAGCGCTATCTATATTAAATGTCACAGGCCTATCAGAAGTTCGTCTGTAAATCTTGGAGAACTGTTTATATCTTAGCATTTCGAATACGGTGGAAAACTGTCTAAAACATCTATGAAAGTACGTCGTACCCTGGAGCAGACAATCTTGCGGTATAATCATTGTGTTTTCAACAGTGTCACTGGTATAACAATTCCGGTTTCCATCGTAAGTTAAAAATAGAATCTAATAAATCTTCAGTGATGACGTAACGATCCACATTACTATATACCGATGACACGCCTTCAAAGATGTTAAACCTGCCTCAGCGCCACTTTGTCTACCGCAAATCCCACATGACTTGACGTAAGATTGAACCCGGGCCGCCGGCGCGGTTGGAAGCCAGCGACTAACCGCCTGAGCTATGGCGCGGCCGTTCCGAAGATGTTTAGACACAGTACATCCGAACTCTTCCTTTGTGCTCAAAATTTGGCGTCCCAGTATTAAAATGGGCATACGGATCAAGAGAATGGTCTAAAACAAAGAGATGCTTTATGGCCACTGCTTTTCAACTTTGCCTTAGAATATGCCATGGGAAACCAGGTGGGACTTAAATTAAGAGGGACATATCAGCTGATCATCTATGCTGATGACGTGACTCTACTGGGTGATAATGTAGATACCATAAAGAAAAAAAACACACAAACTTTAATTGTTGCTAGTAAGGAGCTTAGTCTGGAAGTAAACACAGAGAAAACTAAGTACATGTCACCAAAATGCAGGGCAAATCATGACATAAAGACAGCTAATAGATGTTTCGAAAATGTGGCACAGCTCAGATATTTCGGAACAACTATAACAAATCAGAACCTGATTCAGGAGGAAACTAAGAGACTGAACTCGGGTAATGCTTGCTGCCATTCAGTCCAGAACCTTTTGTCTTCTCTTCTGCTGTCCAAAACCACAAAAATTAAAATATAAGAACTACAATGTTGCCTGTGGTTCTGTATGGGTGTGAAACTTGGTTTCTGACATTAAGGGAGGAACATAGACTGAGAGTGTTTGAGAATAGAGTGTTGAGGAGACTGTTTGGTCTGAAAAGAGACGAAGCGGTAGGAGGCTGGAGAAAACTACATAATTAGGAGCTTCATAACTTATATGTACTTTTCTCCAAGTATAATTAGGGTGATCAAGTCAATGAAGATGAGATAGGCATGGCATGAAGCACGAATGTGGGAAAAGAGGAATGCATATAGGATATTGGTGGGGAAAACAGAAGGAAAGAGACCACTAGGAAGACCAAGACCTTAGGTGGGTTACAATATTAAAATGGATCTTAGAGACATGGGTTGAGATGGTATGAATTGGATTGCTCTGGCTCAGGATAGGGACCAGTGGAGGGCTCTTGTGAACACGATAATGAACCTTCGAGTGGCTGCACAACTGGCGGCTTCTCAAGAGGGGCTAAGCACCATGAGTGATACGGATCATGTGAACAGTAGGCTTGTTACATAGTTTTCATTACTATGCAAACTGCCTATTGTAAGATAAACACAAACACGTACATTACACTCGGCCCTTTCAATCCGACATTACAGATCTGCTGTGCTATACGTAAATGATGCGTTAAGTTCATTTACATCTTTGTTTGTGGATTATTTGACGGAGCTGCTCTTACTAAAGAGAACTTTCTCGTGATACGATGCGTCCCGTCCGAAATTCCAACCACATACATTCTGAACAGGCTGCGAAATGGACACCTTGCTATTTATTTTCCTCCTCCATATACCTTCCATTCCTGCGTACCAATTCTGTCGTCTTGGACGGCATTGACGGTTAATGACATTTGTAAGGCACACGGATAACTGAAATAACGAGTAGCCCCTGCAGCACATACAGGCATATACGATCGTACGCAGTAAGTAGCACTAATGAAGTTGTGGAGGGGAGGAAGAGAGCATTTCCACCTTTAAGAGTAAAAAAGTAAAGCTATCCCTGTAACAGGCCGTGGAGGCCCATTGGGTTGTGTGATGTTGAGGCTCCCACATTTTCTAGACAATCGGCTCATAGATGGCGGCAAATTTGTCAGCCCTACACGCCAGGCGCCCTTTACCCAAGAATATTCCTGGTACTCATTTCTGTCGACCCCAGGGCCATAGTGCGGCTGGAAGGATTAGGTCAATTTAAAAAAATCCAATGACCTCATCGGGACTTGAACCCGCGACCTTCCGGCTTTCAGCATAATGCCTCAACGAACTACTCTACCGCGTGCCCCGCATTTCTACCTTTAACATATAATTATTTTAGGGGGATGGTGGTGTTCGATATTTGGTTGTTTCGAATGTGTGTCCAACAGCTGGAACAGCTTTATAAACTTAGCCGATAGGATTGAAGTTCTTGCCATTATGACAATGAAGTGGAAGATCCGGGATTGTCGGAGTTCGAGTCCGAGTAAGAGCAAAATTTTTCTCCTTTTGACGATGTGCAGACCAGTTCTGAGGCCTACACAGCCTCCTGTCCAATGGACATTGGAGGCTCTTTCACCGGGACGTACAGCTGACCATTCAATTCTAACTAGTGCCGAGGTCATGAATACGTGGACCTACAGCTACTCCCCCATACGTCTTCATGTTGTAGCGCTTAATTAGTTAAGCATTGGGACAAAGTTATCGTGTCCTGATTTACAGCCTTTGGTAACTGTAGAGCGACTGAATATGGGCTGAATGGGAGCATGCATGCCTCTTTCTTTTCGCCAGCACGGAGACCCACTGTGCTAACCCACTGGCCCCCGGATAAAGCGGCTGGACCGTGGTAACACTCACTTGGAGCGAAGTTAAGAATGTGCACAGCACTACCTCCACTCCCCTTCTACTTGTGGACAAACAGATCAGTTTTTAAGCTATACGAGTACAGTACCAAAGGTGATCAGGGATAGCTCAGTCAGTATGGTCAGTATAGCGTCGGGCTATGGGCTGGACGGTCGGCGATAGGTTCCCAGAGCGGCCCTGGGGCCTGTCCAGTCTTCTAGGCAATAGTTACGAGAGGCTCCTTCCCTGGGGGTTAAGTTGACGGAGCGTGAAGCTAACCACTCGCCTTCATCTAGTGCCAAGTTCAAGAATGGTGGGGCTATTCATCCACACCCCACACGTCTTCATGATGTGGTGCTTAATTAATTAATTAATTAATTAATCACAGGTACAAAACTATCATTGTACCAAATAGGATGCAACTTTCACTGCCTTGTAGCTGGAGGCAGTACGTTCCCCCACCTACCACACTACATGGTGTCTTGGACCAGAAAACCACTACATGAAACTTCATTTCTGTGTAAACCTCGGACCTCATAAAACGCTTCGTTCACCAAACGACTGTTTCCGATGGACTTCTTTCCCAAAACTAGTCCATCAGTTCAAAAACATGAACAGACGCGTATCCTTCGGTCTGACTAACAAGATTTATAGATTCTGAACACAGGTTACCTCTGTACCTAAGCACAATGTCATGAGGGCCTATATGGGACGTGGGAGTAAGGCAGCATTTGAACTAAGCAGCTGCCTAGAAGTTTCATTATGAATTAACAGAAGAAAATTAAAATCCGCTGAGGCAATAATTTGCATAATT